AGACGACACCTGTACCAGCAACAGGCACAGACAACGCCTGTACCAACACCAGGCATCAGACAACACTTGTACCAGCACCAGGCATCAGACAACACTTGTACCAGCACCAGGCATCAGACAACACCTGTACCAGCAACAGGCAACAGACAACGCCTGTACCAACACCAGGCATCAGACAACACCTGTACCAGCACCAGGCATCAGACAACGCCTGTACCAGCACCAGGCATCAGACAACACCTGTACCAGCACCAGGCATCAGACACCTGTACCAGCAACAGGCATCAGACGACACCTGTACCAGCAACAGCAACAACGCCTGTACCAACACCAGGCATCAGACAACACCTGTACCAGCAACAGGCATCAGACGACACCTGTACCAGCAAGGCAACAGACAACGCCTGTACCAACACCAGGCATCAGACAACACTTGTACCAGCACCAGGCATCAGACAACAACTGTACCAGCACCAGGCATCAGACGACGCCTGTACCAGCACCAGGCATCAGACAACAACTGTACCAGCACCAGGCATCAGACAACAACTGTACCAGCACAGGCATCAGACAACAACTGTACCAGCACCAGGCATCAGACAACAACTGTACCAGCACCAGGCATCAGACGACGCCTGTACCAGCACCAGGCATCAGACAACAACTGTACCAGCACCAGGCATCAGACGACGCCTGTACCAGCACCAGACAACAACTGTATCAGCACCAGGCATCAGACAACACTTGTACCAGCAGCATCAGACAACAACCGTACCAGCAAGGCATCAGACGACGCCTGTACCAGCACCAGGCATCAGACAACAACTGTACCAGCACCAGGCATCAGACAACAACTGTACCAGCACCAGGCATCAGACAACAACTGTACCAGCACCAGGCATCAGACAACAACTGTACCAGCACCAGGCATCAGACAACAACTGTACCAGCACCAGGCATCAGACGACGCCTGTACCAGCACCAGACAACAACCGTATACCAGCACCAGGCATCAGACAACACCTGTACCAGCACCAGGCATCAGACAACAACTGTACCAGCACCAGGCATCAGACGACACCTGTACCAGCACCAGGCATCAGACACCTGTACCAGCACCAGGCATCAGACAACAACTGTATCAGCACCAGGCATCAGACAACGCCTGTACCAACACCAGGCATCAGACAACAACCGTACCAGCACCAGGCATCAGACGACGCCTGTACCAGCACCAGGCATCAGACGACGCCTGTACCACCAGCATCAGACAACGCCTGTACCAGCACCAGGCATCAGACAACAACCGTACCAGCACCAGGCATCAGACGACGCCTGTACCAGCACCAGGCATCAGACAACGCCTGTACCAGCACCAAGCATCAGACGACACCCGTACCAGCACCGGCATCAGACAACAACCGTACCAGCACCAGGCATCAGACAACGCCTGTACCAGCACCAGGCATCAGACAACAACTGTACCAGCACCAGGCATCAGACGACGCCTGTACCAGCACCAGGCATCAGACAACAACTGTACCAGCACCAGGCATCAGACAACGCCTGTACCAGCACCAGGCAAACGAAGCACCAGGCATCAGCAACAACACCTGTACCAGCACGGCATCAGACAACACTGTACCAGCACCAGGTCAGACAACACTGTACCAGCAACATGCAACACCTGTACCAGCACCAGGCATCAGACAACACCTGTACCAGCACCAGGCATCAGACAACGCCTGTACCAGCACCAGGCATCAGACAACACCTGTACCAGCACCAGGCATCGACACCACCGTACCAGCACCAGGCATCAGACAACGCCTGTACCAGCACCAGACAACACCCACCAGCACCAGGCATCAGACAACACCTGTACCAGCACCAGCAACGACCAGCACCAGCACAACCGCCGCAGCAAGACGCCTGTACCAGCACCAGGCATCAGACAACAAACGCACCCAGCCAGCACCAGGCATCAGACAACACCTGTACCAGCACCAGGCATCAGACAACAACCTGTACCAGCACCAGGCATCAGACAACGCCTGTACCAGCACCACAGGCATCAGACAACACCTGTACCAGCACCAGGCATCAGACAACGCCTGTACCAGCACCAGCAACACACCAGCCAGCACCAGGCATCAGACGACACCTGTACCAGCACCAGGCATCAGACAGCCTGTACCAGCACCAGGCATCAGACGACGCCTGACCAGCACCGGCACAAACAGCACCAGGCATCAGACAACAACTGTACCAGCACCAGCATCAGACAACACTCACCACACAGGCATCAGACAACAATCACCAGCACCAGGCATCAGACGACGCCTGTACCAGCACCAGGCACACAGGCATCAGACAACCCAGCTAAACCGTACCAACAGCACCAGGCATCAGACAACACCTGTACCAGCACCAGGCATCGACAACGTACCAGCACCAGGCATCAGACAACAACTGACAGCACCGCACACCCACAGCACCAGGCATCAGACAACCACTGTACCAGCACCAGGCATCAGACGACGCCTGTACCAGCACCAGCAGCAGCATAAACACCTGTACCAGCACCAGGCACCAGACCCACCAGCATCAGACAACAACTGTACCAGCACCAGGCATCAGACGACCCGTACCGCACCGGCATCAGACAACAACCGTACCACACCAGACACCCCACCAGATCAGACGCCTGTACCAGCACCAGGCATCGACAACGCCTGTACCAGCACCGCGCATCAGACAACAACCGTACCAGCACCAGGCATCAGACGACGCCCCACCGCATCAACAACCCTGTACCAGCACCAGGCATCAGACAACAACCTGTACCAGCACCAGGCATCAGACGACGCCTGTACCAGCACCAGGCATCATACAACACCTGTACCAGCACCAGGCATCATACAACACCTGTACCAGCACCAGCACCCACCAGCACCAGGCATCAGACAACACCTGTACCAGCACCAGGCATCATACAACACCTGTACCAGCACCAGGCAACAGACAACACCTGTACCAGCAACAGGCATCAGACAACACCTGTACCAGCACCAGGCAACAGACAACGCCTGTACCAACACCAGGCATCAGACGACACCTGTACCAGCAACAGGCATCAGACAACACCTGTACCAGCAACAGGCATCAGACAACACCTGTACCAGCACCAGGCATCATCAGACAACACCTGTACCAGCAACAGGCATCAGACAACACCTGTACCAGCACCAGGCATCAGACGACACCTGTACCAGCAACAGGCAACACCTGTACCAGCACCAGGCATCAGACGACACCTGTACCAGCACCAGGCATCAGACAACAACTGTACCAGCAATAGGCAACACCTGTACCAGCACCAGGCATCAGACAACACCTGTACCAGCAACAGGCATCAGACAACACCTGTACCAGCACCAGGCACAGACAACGCCTGTACCAACACCAGGCATCAGACGACACCTGTACCAGCAACAGGCAACACCTGTACCAGCACCAGGCATCAGACGACACCTGTACCAGCACCAGGCATCAGACAACAACTGTACCAGCAATAGGCAACACCTGTACCAGCACCAGGGATCAGACAACACTTGTACCAGCACCAGGCATCAGACAACACCTGTACCAGCAATAGGCATCAGACAACACCTGTACCAGCAATAGGCATCAGACAACACTTGTACCAGCACCAGGCATCACCTGTACCAGCACCAGGCAACACCTGTACCAGCACCAGGGATCAGACAACACTTGTACCAGCACCAGGCATCAGACGCCACCTGTACCAGCACCAGGCATCAGACAACACCTGTACCAGCAATAGGCATCAGACAACACTTGTACCAGCACCAGGCATCACCTGTACCAGCACCAGGCAACACCTGTACCAGCACCAGGCAACACCTGTAACAGCACCAGGCAACACCTGTAACAGCACCAGTAACTAGAAGTAACTTGTAAGCAATATTGGGTGGTGAAGTGACTCCGGCAGCTTACTAGGTTCTTCAGTTGAATTATTCACTTACCGTTTGTATTTATGTTATAAAATACAATTTGTTTCCCATCATACACACATTATGAATTCAAATTTGTAATGTTTCAATTAGCGGATGAATAATAAACTGACGTCAGGTGTGTTTCAACAGATGTCAGTAGAGCTCCAATGACAGTGTGGAGATACAAATAAAAAGGAAATAAAGTTTAAGAAACACAAGTTGGAGAAGTTATGAACGAATTAAAAATTATAAGGAATGTGGGAACCTTGTATAGTACACTGGTGATCGTCTCAAGTGTTTAAAAAAAATAATTGTATAACTGCCTAAAATTTTGGTGCATTTGGGAAGTAATATTAGTTGTGGTAGTGGATATAAGAACTCAACTAAAAGAAGAATAGGACAAGGAAAAAGAGCATTTAATAATCATAGGAACTTATTAAAAAAGGAAGATTAGTTTTAGCTTGAAATAAGGCGACGGACTGTTGTCGTAAGAGTCAGTAGCGAGAACACTTTCAGCAGACACCAGAAAGAGTTGATAGGTCGTCAGAGGCGAATGGTAACGATAAATTATAATAGAAAAACATATGAGAAAATACCAATAGTGTGGGTACTAAGTGACATTAGTGTTTCATCACTGTATAAAATCATGAAAGTTGGCGCGGTGTTAGGCTGGGTACAACTCATCAAAAAGCAAATGAGACGCCCCATCCGGATCTCAACTAGTTAGCATATTTATTAAGGGACAAAAGGTCAAATTTATACTATGTAAAATATTTCTTTAAATACTGAAGATAGGTGGCACTACAGAGGTCACAATTTCCTGTGGATATCGTCAACTGAATACAAGGAGGCAACGTGGACGACACTACTCGATCACCTTCACTTGGGGTATCCTGGTCGTGAACTAAGTACCTATAACAGAGCATTCGAGCGCTGCAGCCACACGGCCGCCGCACCCATGCAAAGTAATAATGAACTCACCATGGTCGTGGCCGAAGGCAAGGAGCCCGGTGGCTGTGAGGCGGAGCGCCAGGTCCTCGTACCACTGAAGATGTTCCCCAAACCCATGGCATATAAACACCAGGCCTCTGTAACGTGAACACCAATGTTTAGTTGGGACAAGTCTAGTACAACTGACTATTGGTCGACATTATACTTTATTCATTTATTAATTTTCCTTAAATCGAAGACATTGTGGAGGCACTGAATTAATAATAATGATAATAGCCTACAAACAACACTAATAATCTGGAAAAATCACCCCATCTACCAAATACATGAACAGATAAAGTGATACAAATTTAAGACAACATACTAATAGTTATTGAAACGTTTGTGTAGTGGTAATAGAGATGTAGGTGTCAGTTGATTGAAAATGTCCAAAGGAGGGCCAACAGACTGGTGCCGGCACTTCGGCACCTCAGCTACCCTGAGAGATTAGAGCGCCTAAAATTGCCTAGCTTATACTACAGACGGGCGACTAATTGAGGTGTATAAGCATCTCAAAGGGCACTACTTAGGCGAGTGCCTTTACCTGGAACTGGCGGACGCCTGCCCCACAAGGGGGGTCACAGCTCAAGATTGAAGAAGCCACATGTGCAGAAAACTGTGAGGGCAAACTTTTTCGGAGTAAGAATTGTAAACTCTTGGAACAACTTGGCAGAGAGTGTTGTGACGGCACCGAGTGTGAGCTCTTTCAAGACCAGACTTGACCAGCACTGGAGCAGGTTCAGATACATTCAGGGGCCAACAGTGAGTAACAGAGACGTGACCGATCACCCAAGCGGCTAACGAGCCGATCAGTGGCGAGGAGGATAAAAGGAAAAGGTGTTGCTCCTGCTGGTGTCAACATTACTCGTGAGGAAGCTGCGAGGTGGTGTGTCATCCTTTCTCAACTTGGGGAGGGAAATGTATAGTACAGAGCCTGCCTGAGTCACAACCATCTTCACCCCAGCCTTCATATCCGCCTTGTGTTATTATTGTTATTATTATTATTATTATTATTATTATTATTAATTATCTTGCATCAACCGTGATAACATGAGACAGATAGACAGACAGGCATAAGTTTCGACAGAGACGATAAAATGTTCTTGTAATTAAAGTTGTTGGTGTGAAAATAGTGCTGTATTCAAGACCACAAGTACAAGACCAAGACCCTTTGAAGTCAAGACCGAGACCTATCTTTTTAGGGGGGGGGGGATTCATTTCATATACGAATAATATTTTGAGGGATTGAAATCTTAAAAACCTAAAAAAATATTTCTCAACTAGTCTGAGCGTGGGCAGTTTTCAGCAGACACCAGACACGATGTATTGATAGAGAAATAAATGAAGTACGAAGAGAGGCAAGGCGAACAAAAGAAAGAAATGTATTAGATTATGTATGGGTTAGTAATAAAATGTACCACGTAGTGTTAAAGTGAGTATTGTGTAAGAAACAGCATTAGTGTCTTGTAGAATTAGGATATATATCATATATAGAGTTGCCAGCCAAGGACAGTGCTACTATCATGACTCAAAGAGGACCCAATCCCTCCTTTCACCTCCAGGTCACGACTGTTGGCATTTATTTTCTCAGTTGCACCAAGTCACCTAGCTAGCCAGCCTGCCTTCCTTCCCTCTTCTGATCATTCACACATTCCAGCAGTTACCTCCAGCAGTCCTCTACATGATGTCATATACACCATTATAACCTGGGGAGCCTCAGGCCATCACCACTGGTCGGGGCTTTCCACGCGGGTCTACCCTGATCGGCAACACGCGACCATGACACTTTATAATAATAATAATAATAATAATAATAATAATAATAATAATAATAATAATAATAATAATAATAATTAACGGTTTATTGGAAGAGCTTACAGCCAGAAGGCTGAAAATATACAGTTACATATTTGGGGAATGGGTTATGAATTACAAATAATATACAAGTAACATAAGTGATACAAATAAGATATATAATAACTAGATGGGGAAAAGCTCAAACTACAGTGCATTTCAAATAAGTGACAGTGCAAGAAGTATTATTTACTGGGAGTGAATACACTGTTTATTACAAGTTATTGATAATTTTACAATGGTTGGGACTGGGCTGTTCTTATAGCGATCAGTTCGTGCACGTATGGGCTGGATGCGGTGTGGTGTCGAACAGCACTCGGGCTAGGGATCTCAGGTGGTAATAGGAGCCGGTGTCGAGGATGGTGTAGCTTCTTACCAAATTTGCAGATGAGGTCGTGGTGATGGTCAGTGAGAGTCGAAAGGGTCAGTGTGTTGAGCGCTTCTGATATGTGGAGAGGAAGGAGAGAATAATCTTGCATGCCTTCTTTTGCACTTTTTCTCGGTGTTTAGGTTGTGTGGCATTTAGGGAGGAAGACCAGGTAGGGAGGCATAGGTGAGCTTGGGAAGTATGAATGTTGTAAACACTGAGGAGCTCGGGTGCAGGAACCCGAGGACTTGAGTCGGCGGAGGTGGGACGGAAACTGGAATTTGACTTCACGACGTGTGGTTTCCAATTTAGTTTGTTGTCTATGGTGACGCCGAGGAGCTTCGTGGAATCAGCACGTGTGTTCGGACCTAAAGTAATGGAAGGAGGTGGGACAATGTCGGAGGAGAGGTTGATGTGCATAACCATGGTCTTGGTATGGTTGATGGTGACATGGTTGTTGGTGGCCCAGTTTTGGAGGCTGTTCAATAAATCCTGAGGCGGTATAGTCGGGAGCAGAATTGTTGACGCTGACCCCAATGGTGGAGTCGTCGACAAATTTCAAGCAGGGGTTTCTCTTAGGGCATCATTGATGAGCATAAGGAAGCAGAGTGGTCCCATCTTGGTGCCTTGGGGACGCCCAGGTGAGTGACTGAAAAGTGGAGACAGCCCCTCGGAAGCGTACAGCTTGGCGTCGGTCACTGAGGAAGTCTGTAAGCCATGGTATAAGACTTCTCCGAAGCCCGAGGTCAATAGCTTTGTTGATGATTATATTGTGGTCGACTAGGTCGAATGCTTTGGTGAAATCAATGAAGGCGACAGCTACAGACGTGCCAGACATCTCCCTACCAACTGGACTGACAGACCTTCGCATAATTGCCCTAAAAATCAAAATCAATCCATATTCTCGGTCGAGTCGCTCATCTTGACCCTGACCATTTCCCTTTATAGTTAGATAACCCGATTTATTGTTCTCCATAAACCCTCAAATTTCTCCGTCTTCCCGATCATCTCTCCAACTTTCCTGGTTACAATCTGTTGCTATAAAACATAGATTGGTTTTATCATATTCGTCAACTCTCTTCTATAAATACGATTAAGAACTTCTGCTGTGTCTGTTGTTCGCAAATGCTCCTTTGGTATCTGTCATATTTAACACTTACTGATAGAACATTCGGCCAGACCCCATAGCGGAAATCATAATTATCAACACGAATATTCACAGGGATGTCTTATCGCTTTTCCTAAATAATTATAAAAAGCTTCCAGCCAGTGTCTTGACGAGCTGCAGCACACTCCTTCAATAGCACCACCATCACGCACCTTCCATCGACCTATTCATCATACATTCTGCAGAACCTCTACTGAGCAAAACGCATTTTATTATACCACGGACCAGCACTGTATGGTAATCTCTTCCTGTTATATAACCTTCATCAGTCTCTGAGGCGCCTTGGGTGATTCAGATTTGAGCGACCAATTTGATGACACAAGTTTTAAGCAGCACACATGCCTTCGGCGCACGGAGAGACAGAGGAGGAAGAGGGGAACGTAGTGACAGTGCCGGATTGAACCTGTGGAGGTCCATGGGCAGCCTCTTTGTGGAGGCTCCTCTCTTATAACTTCCCAAGAGGGCAGGGGTGGTGAGTGAAGCGAGCCTAAACATCTTGGGAGTTCAGGAGGGCGCCGTAGGCCCCCTGGGAAAATTTTGAAATTTGAATACTTCTTTGGAGAATTTTGAAGCCATATGCAGTTATATTGAGGAAATTAGAACATATTGTAATATGTGGAGGCCCCCAGGTTGTGGAGGCCCCTGGCAGCTGCCCACTTTGCCCACTCCTGAATCCGGCCCTGCGTATTGACAGAGGAAGGGTTTAGTTAGTAGCCTGCTAAATTATTAGTATGATTTGTAGAGTATCACATCCAGATATAAACTATCAATAATCGTACAGCACTTCTCTAACCTTAACACCTGTGGTATTAATGGTACGGCTACTAGTAATCAGTATACTATTAACTATACTGCGGTTGCTGTTGTAGCCTCCTAGTAAATTTTCTTAAACACAATATAACCTTTTTGTTCTCTATTTTTAATTTCTTTCTGTTCTTTCCCCAGGCCCCGTTGTGGGTCGTTTGACCTGTGCCCGGGTGGGTTAATTCCCCGTAAAAAAAATTGCTATTATCGTTATAGAACTCTCAAGTGTCCTTAATATTGTGAACCATCGGCATCAAATAGCTAACGTTACCAGTATATGGGGATTTCATGACGCCATCTATCACCCTCACACAATCTTTCTCTGCTACCACCCCTTCCCCCCTCTCCTACACCCTACAGTGCGACATCTGTTGGGTCAAAAAGGCACTTATTTCTTCTGCTTCGTTGTTCTTCTAGATGTCTCGGGGTCATGGTGAGCGACTGTACTTTCCATGAACATAATTGAAGGTCGTGGCCAGTGAGATGACAGCAAGGGAATGGTAAGTACATCCCCACTCACCGCACTCCACCCCGTCACACCCTCACCCGCCACACCGTCACGCTGGTAAGCAGCTCGAAACAACAGTGTTTTGCTGCTGAAAAAACTCCTATACACCGTCCATACCTTCAACAGGCTGCCACAACCAATATTTTTAAACACGTCCACAAACTCTAAACTGAACACATCAATACTGACATCTCTCAACTGTTTATTGTCACTCTACATGCAATAGAACACTGCGTCAGGATAAAAAAAAATCCATTTGCTTCACATGTGGGAATCTCCCTCATTAGTGGAATCTCCACCTGTACCTGTGGAGTTTCCTCAATAAAACTTGACTCCTGTAGTCACGTGTCAATCACATGTAAGGGTTGGAGGAGACTGAGCACGGTTGGCCCAGCCT